TAGCTTCACCTAGAGCAATGTTGAGGGGAGGGGGAAGGGTTTGTTCCTGTGCACAGAGGAATATTTCAGAATTATGTTGCAATGAGTTTCACGTGTCGCGACACCCTGTGCAGCGTGAACATCGATTAAGCATGTGAATGTCTCTCCCACTTCTTTCTCGTAGTAGCAGACCAGCAGGTTTGTCCTTCTCGAAAACACTAGTACGCACCCCTTCAAGCAGTTTCACGTCGGTCAGCGCAGTGGATTTCTCCAGGTCGGGGAGCGTTACTTTGATGTCAGGGATTTCGGTTGTTGGAGATGAGATTATTCAGAAGGCGGGCGAATGGTTAGATGCTCATAGATGCTTACTTGTTACTTATGTTTGTATGTTTGTTATTTGTTTATATTGTGGGTGAAAGAGAGCGATAGCGACTGAAAAGAGCTGATAAGGGGCGTTTAGAAAGCAGGCACAGCGGGATTCATAGCGCGCTCCGCAGCAGCAGTGGGACCTTTCCTATAGTTACGCAGTCAAAATGACTCAACCCCTATATCCTGGAGTTCTCTCAAACAATTCTCAGTCTTATTTGCCTGTGTGAGTTGGAGGTGGTTCAGTGAAAGTAGGCTTACCACTCGCGCGGTCCTGGTTCGGATCTCAGGTCGACACCTGTCCAGGCCAACAAAACCATCTATCTTCCGGGGACGGTAAATTGGTACCATGGGAGGATAAAACACTGACTTGTACATCGGCTGGCCCCCGCAAGTCATTGTATAGGCCACATCGCATTCAATAAGCCACTACGATTCTGAATGGAAGTAGAATGCGTGCCGCATCCCACAAAGGGATTGATCAACGGCGAAGACTTTATCCTTTATTTGCCAGTGAGCTTGTAAGAATCAGTAAGTGGTTTTCATTGCTTCTAGGGCCCAATCACAGTGATAAAGCTATCTCCAGCTGGTAATATTCCCGGATAAGTTTGAGGAACATGTAACGAGGCTCAGAACATACTTCTTGACTGCTAGATCCGCTATCGAAGTGGGAGATAGTTTAGTTTAGCGAAAACCTGTCTACTAACGACCATTGCAGATTGTGGCAGGGGCTTCTGGCGTTACCTCGCGTTTCTTTACGACTAAGGGAAAGGGGAATGTCGCCCTTGTACTTATTTTCTTTATTTCTGTCGGGAGCTATCAGTTTGTAGAGCTGTTGTTTAGGGTTTACTTAGACATAGAGCTTCACGCTCCCCTGTCAGCATGAAAAAAAAAATCAAACTTTTCATGTAGGTTGGCAGTCCCTGACTTCGTGGAGCTCACATCGAGTTGAAAAATAGAAACTAGACCAGCTGAAGGGAACATTCAAGATTTGCGGGGCTTTTTTTCGCTGTCAGATGAGTAGTTGCTTGTTACGACGGTTTTCTACAGTGTAGATTGTCGCTGTGCGATGGGATTTGCATCCAGAGTTGTATTTTGTTGTGTTTTTCCGTACTAGGCTCGCCATATAATACGTCCAGGTGCCTATCTCCCTGTTTCCATCTAAGAGGTGCCGTGGCTTAGGGTTGCGTTTTGTCCCCGAGTTCGGAGAGGTGGGAGGATGTTTAGCGGAGAAGCTATAGAAGGATTGCGTTGCAGAAAACTTTTCTTCATCATCATGAATATTCCTGCTTTCTAGGTCAATTCTAATTGTTTGCCTCAGATCGTAAAATTATGGCAAAATGCACGCACAGATCAGTATTATATTCATTGGCCCTGTTTAATACTCTTCATTGGAGTTACATCGAGCCAGTTGTTAATTTTTGCTCAGCTGTAGTGAACAGTACTTTTCAGTTGTTTTGTTCACTCCTAAGATGGCACAAGACAGTGACGATGACGAATGTCCCGTTTGTGCTCAAAAGATGATTCTTCCTACGGCTGTGCCTGGTTGTGGACATAAATTCTGTTTTCTATGTATTAAGGGTAGGTTTCTGTAAGGCTGCGTTCATACTTTGCGGCAGCGTTCACCAGCGACCACTAGCGTTCCGAGCGTCCAGCAGCGTCAGCCACTGGGAAGTATAGGTATAGATCTAGCGTCTGCCAGCGTCCACCAGCGTTCGTCAGCGACCGAGAGTACTATTAAAGCACAGAATTATGCAATTTAAAATGTGGTGCAGTGTAGTTGTGCGGTGCGTTGCACACGCCGCGACGCCTAATCCAGCTGTTTGCTACCCTCCTGCTTCCCCATACTCTCTGCTCTCGATCGCTGGTAGACGCTGGTGGATGCTACCGCGAACTACGAACGCAGCCTAGGAGGCTTCCTATTAAGTTTTACTGTGGAATTCTTCTCAACTCAGCTTTAGTACCATTTAGGTGCTGCCTTTCGAACACAGGAGCGATTGTGTCCAATGTGTCGTGGTAATGTCAGCGTTTCCATATTCCGAAGTCCTGCCATGCGAAATGTCACACTGGACATGCATGATCCGGAATCGCCCACGGTCACGAGAGAGCTACAAAAGTCGAAATCTGACGGCACTGGTTGGCGTTTTTGTCGTGTGCTGTTTTTATTAACTTCTTAAAGTGCCAGGATACTTGGCAAATACATAGATATCCGTGCAGACTTTTTTGACTCCAATCATTATCGTGAGAGTCTTGCGTCCTGCGTCCGCATGCGAAGCCAGGCTTGGTGGAGAAGCTATTAGACTAACTGAACGTATGATTTTGCTCTCCTGCTTCATTAGAGCCCATCAGCGTCGGTTTCATCGGTCGGAATACCCCATGGTTGAGAAATAATTCAATCTGAACGGTCCGAAGCTCCGCTGTCTTTTCATCGAACGCGCACGTAGAATAAATGAAGTGCGCTCCTGAGTTTTTGGGGATTACGTGACATCTTGATCTTGCGAAACGCAGACAAATAGAGGACAGATAAAGGGGCGCCTGTCAAAGCATAGAAACGTGCAAGAAGCATGTACCGAGCCAGAATGGGCTTTGTTAGGGAGAGGGGGCTTCAGGGGATGAACCACTTATAATCCGTGAAAAGCTGGAATGTGCGAAGTCACAACAACCACAGAGTGCCATGCGAACGAGAGAGTGCAGAGAAAAACAGCCGAAGCACTAGCCACAAATTTAGCGCAATCAGAGCAGACTATGTAGATGACAAAAATAAAATCGCTTTCAGATCAAAATTTTTTGCGCCACAGGTCGCATTCCTGCATTGCGACTCGGGAAAGTAGAAAAACGCGCGTCAAAGGAGTAGATGGGAATTGATGGACTCCTGTCGCTAGCGAATTGGAAGAAAAGGAGGATTGGAGGTAGGAGAATAGAGTGCACGATGAATGTTAGTTGAAGTATTGATTGGAGAATAGGCAGTACCTTGGCGTACATTCTGTTATCCTCCTGCACTATCAATTCGCTAGCGATCAAAGTCAATTGATTTCTATCTACTTCTTTATCGAAACCCCATGCAGTACATGATAGGATAAAGGTAGTGCTCATCGTCGCGATTATCCTCGGTTTTTATCGACTCCTTGCTCTTGATGAGCTTTCACTGAGTAACGGCCTTCGCGGCACTGTGGCAGACTTATTCACTAGTATAGGACGAAGACATGGCGCAGTGCAATTTTGAGTTGGAAAGTAGTGTAACTTGCCAGTTTAGGTCCAGCTTCTAAGCGGGCTCGAGTGTGCAGTGATGAGGCTGGTCCCTCTTCGAGAACAGAAAACTCGCGAGCATTCAAATGAACAAGAGTACGAGTCGCCACAACGAGAACCGGAGACTAGTGCGACTTCTAGTGAGCGATACTACTGGTTGTATGAGGTGAGCAGGAGTTGCAATTCTGTAGTGACCACCTCCAATACGAGCCTTCCACAATACGTATACCGTGGGCAAGGAAGTGGGTCCCTTTGTTCAAGAAATAGCGTAATGTACTTCAGTATTCAGTTCCCCGTATGCATAAACCTGTGTACACGTTCTCGTATTTTTAAGTGCAACTTTGAATTTTTTTACTGCTGGAAATGAGGCTCGTTTTTATGGCCAATTTCACGCCATCGCCTTTTACAACGAGTTCTTGCAACTTGTGTTTTGGGTTGAAGAACATGAACTGGCATTCGTTATTCATTTCTAGCGTTAGCGTCATTTTTCGCAAATGGGCCCAATTGGGCGCCGCCGCTCTTGTGAATCATCATGAATCAGAAATTGTGTGAACCCTGCATCCTAGGGTCATCGGGCATCCTGATTACGGAGGTATGACATTCATCCTCGGCGCCAGCGCTAAGATAGAGCACTTTTGATCATCTGCGCTCTGCTAAAGCTCAGCGTGGCGGCAAGGGAATTCTTCCTCCTTTCAAGTCAGCCTTAGCACAGCGTTAATTTGCGCTAGGGTGAAGAACTGAGTGTCATACTCGTGATCAGGGTACTTTGCAAGTTTTTCGACTTAAGTGAAAAAGGTGGTGCTGTGAAATTTGCGCCTATTGGCGCTAGATGGCGTCTGCGACAAAAACGGATGTCGCATTCGTGATCAGAGCACCGAACAATCTTCTCATACGCTTTGAGGGGGTCCTTTGTTCTGTGAGAAAAGTATGATTCGAGTCACATTAATGCTATAAGCTATGCTACCACAGATTGAGACTCTAGGGTCGTGGTGGTTGGTGGAGATTCGATCCTCGCTTGGAGAAGGATCTTGAGAATGGTCGTCGTTCGGGAGAGAATGCTACTGAATTGTTGATTTGTGGATTCCAGTAAGTGTTTTAACGTGTTCTTCTTAGTTGCTTTTTTAATTCTTGCAAGATTCAGGTATGAAGTCAATTTCGACCGAATGGTTCAGTTCCGGAAGGATGGGCCTACCCGAACGAGGAATATCAAGTAGGGTAAAGTAGCAACTGCTATTTTTGTTTGTTAAGCGCACCTGTTTCAGGCGTGTTTCTGGAACGGAATTTCGAGAAATGTCAGAGAAAGGAATGCTGAAGGGGATCTCGGGGGTACGATTGGCAGGAAACTGATCTCAATTTCACTCATAATACGGGAAATCTAAATTGCTTTCTCATTGTGGAAGTGATCAATATATATTTTATTGCTTGGATATATTTGATGTGATAATGATGGATAATGATGGATTTTCCATAAAGAAGTTCTTTCCTTCATGTTTTGCGTCCAGTTGAACCAGATTCATGTCGACCCAGATGTTATGTTGTGGCAGGTGGCGCCACTCTTCAGTGAGTCTGGTAGGGGAGGAAGCGGGTAGGGAGGGATGAAGGGGATGAAGTCACGAGTATTCTAGAATCCAAGTCCTCGAAGTGTCGCGACGATTCTGAGCTCAACTGCTCTTTCATATTTTCATCTGAAGTTGTCAACGAAGATCCTCAAAAGTGCGCCGGGGTTTGAATACGGTGAATTGTGCGGCTCGTATACTGATGAAATGATGGTAAGGAACACAAAATGACGAATAAAACAAAAAAAAACCCGCTTGAAAAGGCTTTTACGGGATCGCATGCTGTTCGTATGTGCACAAGGCGGTGAAGGGCGAGGTCGGACGAGTCCTCACTTGCTAGGTGCGCTCTTTCACCTCATCACATCAATGCCACCATTCGAAATAGAGAGTGTAGGAATAACCGCAGCATAATGTAGCGGTTATATGAAAGATGGGCGTCGTCGTTACCAGTGGGCGGGTAGTGGCCTTGTTGCGAGCTGTTTGCGCTTTTCTCGCGTATTTTTAATTTGTGAAATTAGTAGATCATCCTTGCGGGGCTAACATACCCGAAGAATGGAAAAAAAGGTGGATCCAAGGCTCTTTTCGCACTGCTCAAGGTCAAATTGTCGCAGAAAAACAACATAGGCACGCTTTTATTGAATGATTCCATTAGGGTAATCACGGAGACTGACAAAGCGGAAGTATTTGCTAATACCTTTGAAAGTGCCTTCTGTAATACACGGGTGTTGTCACCAGATATGGGTTTTCCCAAGTTCAACTGCTGCAGTCCAGCCCCATGGTTTGATAAGAATTCCATTACTGAAGTGTTACTGAAATGGACATCTGCCTCTTCCATAAACTGTGAGAATATCCCTTTTGTCGTTGTGAAAAATTGCATTTTTGAAATCTGTGGCCCGCTGGAATTTCTCTTCAACCTGAGTCTTATGAGGAGCGAGGTGCCCAAGAAATGGAAACATTCCATAATCATACCTTTGCCCAAGAAGGAGCCTCTTTCATGTCCTGCCAATTACAGGCCAATTAGTCTAACCTCTATTTTCGCCAGAGTTTTTGAA